TGTGTGTGTGTGTGTGTGTGTGTGTGTGTGTGTGTGTGTGTGGTCAGAAGTGCATGTGACAGTCAGGGAGTCAATTTTCTTTTACCACATGTTTCTGGTGACCAAACTCAATTGTCAGGCTTGGCAGCAAACATCTTTTCTACCAAGATAGTTCACTGAACTTATTTTTGAAACAAAGTCTAACAAATGCAATCCACCTTGGCCTGGAACTCCTGTGTGTCCAGACTGTCCCTAAACTCATTGTATTTCTCCTGCCTCAGCTTCAAGTAGGAGGATCAGGGATTCGAGCCACAATGTTCAGCTAAGAATTTTTAAATCAGCACAATTTTTTGTGGTTAGAATAATTTGACCAATGTGTCCCAAACTGTGATTCAGTGAACAGATATTCCAAATAATGCTACATTTAATTTCCCTGTCACAAGACATATATGTTCCTAGAATAATCATGTGTGGTACAGTCATATTAAAATAAAATTTTAAAATGAGTGTTTTACAGGCAAAATGGAAAAATGCTCAAAATAACAAGAAAAAATAAAACCACTATCATGGAAACTTTTAAAGAAATAGAGAAAAAGAGTAACAATATTTTGCACATGCAGAATCTACCACAACACACTTGGATAGTGATGGGGGATAAATGGAAGATGGTCTGAGACCTCACATAGGGTCTCAGCCCATATGTGCTTGACTGAGCTCATGGCAACAGCATTGCTAGCTGAGGTCACCACTGATGTCTGGGTGTCCTCACAGTTAGCTGGGTACAGTCTTCCATATTTTATACAACCAAAAAACTAAATCCCCAAATTACCCTACCCTCAACATGTTCCTTGGCGTCCCCCACACTTGGAATAAATTTACATTTGGGAACAAATGCTGTAGCAGAACACAACGTGACAGCAAACAGCGATGAACAAACTGAGGAGAGGCACTATGTTCCAGTTGTCCAGGAAGGATGCAGTTAAGCATCTTTCTACAGTGGGAGAGCTGAGAAACTTTATCTGCTCGTGCAAGCTCAACCCAGGCAGAAGATGATCCTGTAACATTTTCAGAAATGATTGACTTTGGAACACTTTACTCTGAGACGAAAAACTTTTAACATCACCTAAAAATAGGGCTGATGGGTTGGCTAAATGTTTCTCTATGGGAATGCTTCATTTTTGCCTTTATAAAATGTAAGGCAAACATTCTTCTTAGGACAGAAATAAGTTATTACCTAAGTTTTGCTCCTTTTTAAAAAATTGCAATAAACTTTTCAAAATAATCTCAGTATTTTTGACATTGTTGGTTGTATTGTTCTAACTCAGCAGAAAGGGAAATTAGGAGGTGAATAAAATATCTACTTTAAGTTGGATAATCTTTTTATGACTTACAATAAATCTAAATTTATACTTAATAAATAAATTTGAGATTTTTATATATATTTGATTTTTATAAGATTTTCATTCAATCCTAATGTCCAAAAACCAAAACCTTTTTCATGAAAAGATAAAAAATAGAGTCATCAGAGTTTTTGTTACTAATATGTACTTTACTTTTTAAAAATTCTTATTATTCAAATTTTCAACTGTCTCTTTATTACCTTACTCTTCATATGGAAAGGTTTTATAAAAGATGTTGGAAAACTACAAAATACATAATTAGTCATTCATCAAAAAAATCTGTTAAGGGGGAGGGTTGATTGAGATTTGTCTAATTTAATTATTTTAGGATAAAAGGCAATGAGTGAGAAATAATCTTAGTAAAAATGCTAATGCAAGGATAGTGAAAATCTCTTACCAATGAAATTCACACCACTAGCAACATCTGTCAATGTTATAATGCATACATGAAAAAAATTAACCAATGTGTCAAGCCATCCAGGGAGAATTTATTCAAGTAAATTACTAAATTACAGCAAGTTTAAAAAATGAACATCATGGCATCTAGCCAGTTTGGTTCACATCCTTGAAAATCAATAGCCAGAAAAATACTAAAAAGCAGCTCTTCCCAGACGTGTAGGGGACAGCCCGACTTAGAGGTCTTTAGAAGCCCCTTTACAGGAAAACCAGACTTCCAGGGCTTTTTCCTGACCCGGAATGTACCCTCCAAGAATATTTTTCCTGAGTGACACGAGAAGCGACTGTAAAGCCCATGGTTGTCTAACATATTAGCTACAACTTAGAGAAAAGAGTTCAAAAAATTTTAAAGGGAAGTAAGGGAACTGGGTCTCCATAGAGACAGATAAAAACAAGTTCTGAGAATGTAGAAAACCATACTACTTGTAGAGCTGTGCATAAGGTCATAAAAGATCCAAGGATGCCCTAAGTTCTCACCTCTGATTGATTTCTGTCCTTTGCCAACAGAAAGTAAAGGTAGGCAAAGCAGCAATGCCAGGGTGGCACACTGCAGCCGGCTTCAACATGCAGGACTGGGAGACTTACTCTTTGTGGCTGCCTCAGCCCATCACTCACTGACTAATAAGATCACCAATCAGATAATTCATTGGGCACAGGGACTAGAAGTCACTGAAAAAGTAACAATGATAAATAACTAAAAACAGTAACAATAAACTTCATGTAATGTGGAAACAGGACTTCCAGAATAGCTGCAATGTATTGTTTAGTTTTGAACAAAAAAGCAGTAATAATAAGTAGGGAAGTAAATAAGAAAGTCTGAAGAAAAAGAAAAGGCTATTAAAAGTTATTCTTGGGGAAAGCCTGTATGTGAGATTCCTTAATTCAGTTACTAAAGAAGTCAGTTCAGTTATTATGAACACCACTGATATCATACCTAGTGGAGTAACATTCCATCACAGGCAATTTCAATAAAGCAATACAAATCTTCATGATGCTGGGTTAGGAAATACTTTCTTTTCTATGACCCCAAAAGTATGTCCCCCAAATTGACAAATTGGATGTGGTAGGTATTGCAAGGTAGGTGGGAAAGCCACGTATATTATATGCAATGGAGAGAAACGGCGTGAAGGCAGGAGATATTCAGAAGGCAAGATTCTTCAGTTAACCATCTGATGACTAAAACAACTCAGTGGATTTCTTCTGTATCGCTTAACTTATTGGTTAGATATTCATTACTGAAGAAAATGTGAAGAATTATGTACTTCCTGCTATTGCTTCTAAACGGCTCTAACAAAGTGTCTGGAGGTATTAATTGTCAGCTACTGTTAACAACTCAACCCTGGACTTGGGAGTTTACAACAGTCAAAGCTGCCCTTTGTTCCTTCCACGTGCATGGTAGTTGATCAGCTCAAGGTGGGAGGAATGGAGAGGGGAGTTCTATTCTGCACAGTTACTTAGACATAGGTGTCTTCTCTGGTGAGGTTCCAGCATCTACATACAAGGCTTCTAGAAATTCTGCAGCCTTTTGCCAGAAGGAGAGAGAGCAGAATCCGAGGTGTGTACCAACTTCTACACTATTAGCCAGAATTCAGTAGTATGTCCTATTCAGTTCCAGAGATGCATGGCAACACTAATTTAACAAAATGTTCAGAAGCAATGATTAGCATTGTCTCTGTCACAGAAGAGGGAGGGGCTCAGAGATAACGAACAGAGAGGACTAAGGACACGCTCTGAACAATTCTGTCTTGGTTTTATATCTCATGGTCAATGCCTACGAGCCATTGACAGATAAAAGCTAAAATAACCACAAGAAAATGACATAGCAAATGTTCAATTAATTGCATATGACTTTCCTGCGATCTCTTCAAAGCAGCGCAGGTGAACACGCACGCACTAGCCCCGGCCTGAGTAACTGCATGACCCGAGTATTTACAGCTTCAATTTGTGACACTTCTAACCGTGGAAAAAAAATAAACGAACAAATAACAACAAAACCCAGAATACTACCTTTAAAAAAAACATACCACAACAAAAACAAAACCCAACCAACCCAACAAAAAACCACGCAGAACATGGCTGCATTGTTGACTTGTCTAAATTCACAGTCAGCGTGCTTTCATAATGCCAGTTGAACTTTTTACATTCTGTGAATGAAAACTTTTCCAGCTGGTACAGCGGAAACTGCAATGAAGAAACACAGCTATTTGCATTCAAGAAGTGAGTGTGTTGTTAATTCCTGGCTGAACTCTAAGTATCCACAGCATACCTACCCATCTTATTAAATACTGCCTGTGTTTGAGTCTTTCAAACTGAACCTTCTTCCCTCACTCGGGGGAATCCTGGACTGAGGGACAGCGGATCCTTTAGGAGCTCAGGATAGCGTGCTTTTCATTTCATTTTACACTCGAGCACACATGCAGCCCAATCTCACGCAGGAATGAGCCTCGGCTGATTCCCGATGATTTTGGTGGTTTCAGAATGTGTTCGAACAAGCAAGTCATTTTTCTTAAAACTTAGGAAGGAATATCCAGTATCTCACAAGCTGCTTGCTTCTCCCCTGCCAGCTTCTTCCGCCACTGAGCAGGTCCTGCCCTGTAATCTGTCTGTGCAGGACCCGTGTCTCAGAACCACTGAACATGGATTGGTCAGAAGGAAGGGAAGCAGAGGCGGAGCCATTCAGAACAGTTTCCCCCCTCCACTTCAGCATAAGAAATCAGCAACCCGCACCAGGCTGCTCTGGCTCACAGGGATGCTCTGGCTGGAAGCTTAACTTCTGAGAGGCTCCGGTGTGAGCAGGGGGCGCGCAAACGCGGCTCGCTCCCAGCCGTACAGCGACTCTCAGAAAAAGGGCTCCGAAAAGACCCTGGATGAATAAGGCTAAAGCTAAAACGGCGGCGGGAACAAAAGCAAACGGCGGACTGGTCAACCGAGAATGAGCTCTTAGAAGCCTCAGTTTCTCAAGAGATGAGGAGCGGAGCTGAGCCCAGAAGAGACCAACAACTCTTTTGCAAGCACCCCTGCTTCTGACCGTGCTCACAGCAAGCGCCAACTGCAGCCGCCCAACTTCCACACACAGGCACAGCCTGGGAGAAAACCATCGGAGCTTCCCTGACCCAGGAGGTTGGATCAATTCAAGGAGGATTCGAATCCAGCTGCTGCAGGAAGATGAACTCCACCCACCATCATGGCATGTATACCTCCCTCCACCTCTGGAACCGCAGCAGCCACGGGCTGCAAGGCAATACCAGCGAGTCCCCGGGGAAGGGGTACTCAGATGGAGGATGCTATGAGCAACTTTTTGTCTCCCCCGAGGTGTTTGTGACTCTGGGTGTCATAAGCCTGCTAGAGAACATTCTAGTGATCGTGGCAATAGCCAAGAACAAGAACCTGCACTCACCCATGTACTTTTTCATCTGTAGCCTGGCTGTGGCAGATATGCTGGTGAGCGTTTCGAACGGTTCGGAAACCATCGTCATCACCCTGTTAAACAGCACTGATACGGACGCGCAGAGCTTCACCGTGAATATTGACAATGTCATTGACTCTGTGATCTGTAGTTCCTTGCTTGCATCCATTTGCAGCCTGCTTTCCATTGCAGTGGACAGGTATTTCACTATCTTTTATGCACTCCAGTACCATAACATTATGACAGTTAAGCGGGTCGGGATCATCATAAGTTGTATCTGGGCAGCTTGCACGGTGTCGGGCATCCTCTTCATCATTTACTCGGACAGCAGCGCTGTCATCATTTGCCTCATCACCATGTTCTTCACCATGCTGGTTCTCATGGCCTCTCTCTATGTCCACATGTTCCTGATGGCGAGGCTTCACATTAAGAGGATTGCTGTCCTCCCCGGCACTGGCACCATCCGCCAGGGTGCCAACATGAAGGGGGCAATTACACTGACCATCCTCATTGGGGTCTTCGTTGTCTGCTGGGCCCCTTTCTTCCTCCACTTACTGTTCTACATCTCTTGCCCCCAGAATCCATACTGTGTGTGCTTCATGTCTCATTTCAACCTGTATCTCATACTGATCATGTGTAATGCCATCATTGACCCTCTCATTTATGCGCTCCGGAGTCAAGAACTGAGGAAAACCTTCAAAGAAATCATCTGCTTCTATCCCCTGGGAGGCATCTGTGACTGGTCTGGCAGGTATTAAGTGGGGACTGAGTGCATCCCAGGAACCTGCAGACTTTCCCACTCTGGCACAACCCGAGCAGTGTGCTTTGACAACAGCTGCCTCTTCTGTGTAGTGCTTTGGCTGAAAGTATCTATTATATACATTTCAGTGTATGACGTTTGATGTGCACAAAGTCTAAACCTGTCATTTTTAATGTCATGCTACTTTTTGGTTTGCCAAATGCTAATCTGCACTCTATATTGTGGACGCTATGAATTTACAAAAGAAAAAGAAAAGAAAGCCATCCTTATTAAAAGTTTACCAATGTCTCTTTCCTGTTATTTGTCAAGGTTCAACCCTTGTCCTTTCTGTGGTGGCAGAAGCCAGAGCCTTATTAAATATGATCTCAGCTGTTTTCATGTATCACCCCACAGCACTGCAGAAGCTTGATCCCACCATTTATGCAGGAAATGCTGGATCATTCTGCAAGTCAGCTCCACCAGAGAAATTCCAAGTAACTTAGTAAAAGCTTACCTATTATCCTTTCTGTTCAAATATACTGATGTTTCTCTTTAAATAAAAGAAACAAAAAGGGGAAAGCAGCAGCTACTGAGTAAAAAAGTGAGGACTGAGTCACATGCATATCTCCAAGACAGAGTTTCTTGTCACATGAATTTCTCCAAGCCAGTTGCCTCATAGTACAACATAGGCAATTTAGCTGGGGGAGGGGAAATGGCCACTATTAAGATTAAAGTGTCCTGGCAAATCTAAACTGTCCATGCCATGCTGAAGTTCCCTAAGCCAAATGATCCCCAAACATGAGTGACCAAACAGAATGGATTCTGTCTGGTCTCTTAACCAGGGATCCAGTTCCCACAGAAATATCCAGAAAAGTTGCCACTGCATTGAGAGGTGCAGCATTTCATCTTAGAGTTGATAATGAGTTATTACATGCTTTGTACGGAGGAGGCTTGCTGTTCACTTTCTGATTACTTTCTGGGCTGTATCAGGGCTGAAGATTAAGCATTTAACTTCCCAAGCCAAATCCACATCACGAAACATTTTGGAACCATCTTTGCAAATATCTAAAATGTGGAACCCTGTGGTGCTGGCACATCATAAGATTGAAGGAAGACACATACTGGGTCCTGGAAGGTATAATAAAGTATCTGATGTTCTTAGTCACATCATAGGTGTGGTCACTGAGCAACCAAGTCTATGCTTTCTAGTCTGTGTGTACTTTAAAATCAAAGAGATGAAGTCTATAGTATTAGTCTGAGGATTAGTGGTGAACTTTCCTGTGATTCAACTGACAGTGTCTCCAAATACTCATAGGCAAAGATGCTGCATGGCAGTGCATGGGAATTAAAATCTAAATGTTTGACATATTGATTACAAACCCAAGAAACACCAAGGGCATTCATGTGTAAACAAACATCAGAGTACAATGGCAAAGCTGTTTCAAGGTGCCGTCCACTGAGCCAAACTGCCACCAGAGTCATAAGATTAGCTGTGTGTCCTTGCACACAGGCAGCATCCCAGTCAGCTTGTGTGTCACTGGATCCTCATCTGGGTACCCACCCACTTACCCAGCCATTTGTACACATGCAGTTTGGTGCAATAGAATTCAGAGGCATCAGTATACAGGCTGAGAAGGAAAAGGTGGCCAGGCACTATCTGTGCAGCCCTGGGGAAGATGTCCTCCATGGTGGGCAGAGACTAGCCAGTGTATCTGCTATGTGGTCACGCTTAAATCTGGTAACTCCCCCCACACACTCTTTGAGTAAGCCCAATACACTCATTGGGTCCCCAGGGTAAACACTGAAATCTTATGTGGGTCTGTGGTTGGGCCCAAAGGAACAAGGGGTAGACATTGTTCACACCCCTCCCCCAGGAGGATGTCAACAGCAGAACCTTTAACCAATGGAGAGTGTTTCCAAGGCTGGGTTTTAACCACACCACAATGCTTCTATTTTAAAACAAACAAACAAACAAACAAAAAGAATGTCAGATTTTATACAACCAACTAATTCTGCTGAATTCTGGATCCTAAATGTTCTTCAAAGGGCCATGCCTGGAGGCTTTCTCTATAGGGTGGTGTTACTGGGACATAGCACAGTCTTTAGAAGATGGGACCCATGGGAAGACTTCCAGTCATTAGGAGTGTACTCTTGAAGGGGATAGTGGAAATGTAGCTCATTCTTCGTTCTATCTCTTGGTCCCTGAGATCATAACACAAGGGCTTTTGCTCCAGTGGGAGCTGCCTCACCACAGGGCCAGCACAAGGAGACCAGTCAGTCCTATAGTACAACCTCCCAAACTATCATCCAACTTGAACCTTTTTCACTTTATAAAGTATCTTAAGTGTTTTTTTTTATAGCAATCAGAAGATGAGTAAGACACAGAGCCCCCCAAAATAGTAGTCCCAGGTAGTGTTTGTTAGTTTTTACTGTTACCATTCCTTGTTTCACACAATGACCCCAATGACTGTAGATATGAAGACCATTATATGCACACCCTGTCTTTGGAGCAGTGATCTTTACAAACGATTCTCTTTCTACACCTCTTCAGGTGTCATCTCAGATGTTCAGAGGAAAGTCCTGATTCTTTTTTTAAAAAAAAATATTTAAAATTTTTATTTCATGTGTACTTGTGTTTTGCCTGCATACATGTCTGTGTGAAGGTATCAGATTCCTTAGAACTGGAGTTACAGGCAGTTACGATATGTCATGTGGGTGCTGGGAATTGAACCTGGGTCCTCTAGAAAAGCAGCCAGTGCTTCCAACTACTGAGCCATCTCTCCAGCCTCCAAAGTCCTGATTCTTCCTGCATGCTCACATGGTTTTTCTAGAGAAGTCTGTAGTGGTAGTACACCCACTGGGTGTGGATCATCCATACACCACAAGGCTCTTGAGATGTTTGGAAAAACACTGTGGGGCTTTATTGTCTTCCTACACTGAGAATGTCTCTTTCTAGCTTGTTCTATGCTCCAAACCAACCCCGAGGATATTACTTCCTCATTTTCTAAAAACAAAACAAAACTACATTTTTCCAGAGACACAGTCCTTATTAAAATGACCTCTGATCTGATGGCTTGCTGATAACCAGTGAAATTTGGAGTTCCAGGTTCTCCAACTGAATTGGTAGAGGAGCAACACAAACGAGATGCTTCGTGTCCAGGGGATCCTGGAGAGAGAATATATGGGTTTTAGTAAGTGAAAATCCAGGTATCATTTTCTATCTGCATCGCCCTCTCCCCTGAAGCAATAAAGTACCTTCTAGAAAAGTGAACTCTGGGAGAGGGTCAGCCTATCAGGCTGAAAGCATCTGTTCATCCACCTAGCAGGGTGAGGGCATGAGCATCCTGGGTAAGAAGGAAATAAACAAAATGCATGGAGAACAGAAAAAGAATGAAAGAATGCTTACCAGGCCTTGGATCAGTTATGTTAGCCTGACTGGGGAAAAAGAATTAGATGGGTGGGTGGGTGGCTGGATAGATAGATAGATAGACAGACAGGCAGACAGACAGACAGACAGACAGACAGATAGATCCATAAAATGTGTATGCATAAGCAGACTTTAAACAGCGATCAACTCACCCTGAGTGGTGGCCCCAGAAAGAATTTCTGCACATGGAGACAGAAGATACAACATGGTTCAAATGAGTCACAAGGGACAGTTTTGAAGCCTTTTGGCATAGCTGTCACCTTTCACTGGCATCATGTGTTATAACATGAATAAATAAAAAACAAGAGACAGATATTGGGGTTCAAGCTGAGGATCAGATAAGCAAGGCAGCCAGCCACTGGCTCTTACCTCTACCTCAGACAGAAATGGGTGATTCTGTCTCTATGAATCCTCAGAGTGCAAATCTCAGAGACAATATGCAGACTGCACTGCTCTCTATCAGGCTTCAGACTGCAATCCTAAATTCCTTGTCTCCTCCTGCCTTATCTCTCTCCACCCAGCCATATCACTCCTGTCTCCACCTCCCTGGTGCTGGAATTAAAGACATGTGACCCCAAGTGCTGAGGTCACCTTTGTGTGAGCTGTTTCTCTTTTAGATTAAATCAATTTCATGTAGCTCAGTGTGGCCTTGAACTAACAGAGATCCACTCTGTCTCTGTCTCCCGAGTCCTGGGATTAAAGGCGTGTAACCACCACTGCCTGGCCTCTATGGCTAGCTGGTATGGCTACTGGGGTTAAAGGTGTGTATCACCACTGCCTGGTTCTTTGGCTATGGCTGACTCTGCATTTTGATCTCCAGTTGCTTTATTAGATCATAAACAATTTATCACCACACTGTGTCTTCTTGAAATGTTCCTGGAGGGCGATTCCACAGCACTGGTGCAGTTCGTGGATGTGGGTATTAGGCTGACTCCATCATGTAAGTATCTCTTCTGTTTGCTGAGGAGGCAATAAAGGCTATGGGATCCCTATCTGCTTATTATCAGTCCACTAATTGAGTGTTATTCTAACACCTGGTAGATTATATTGTCCTTCAATATTTCTTCTACTAGTCTAAAAAACAGTATTGCACATGTTATAGAGTCTTAATTAATGCTTCCTAACTGGCTTTATGTTCCTTACTTCTTTCATGTTTTTTTTCCCTACTAAATTTGTTCTGTTTTGATATGGTAACACAAGACCAAAAATGTAAGCTAAAAATAAGTGTAGAAAGTCCCATTAGTTCACATATTTAGCCCAGTGATTTGCTTCAATAGGCTTGAGGTATGAACATATCCTGCTGAACATTGGCTTTACAGAATCTTCCTGGACAGAATACACATCTGCTTGAAATCAAAGAACTATACGCTTGTTGCAGAAATAATGCAACATAGTTATCAAGGCCTCAGAAACTCACTTTCATCACAGGTCCCTATTATGGCATCAGAAAAGGAATAAAAGTATTAAAAAAATTTGCTCAAATCAGTCAGTTTGAAGAACAAACACACTGTGTGTTCCCAAAGGAGAAAAATGAAGGTTTCCCAGGAAATAATTACTAAGAATTTAATTATAGCATTATAGGGAGCACGGAC